AAATTTTGGCACTGTTCTGTTGAGTTCAGCAGTAGACTATTAGAATATAGTATAGTGAGTGACGTTGTCGATTCAGTGAAGCGCTGAGTATGTCAAAGCCAAAGGTTAAAGCACAAAAGGTTTAGGCTATAAACAAAACTCTACGGGTTCTTGATGCAATTAAATTAATTGTTTGCTTAACTTAGCTTACTTATATCATCATAGACTAACCAACACAAGTATATTTTTTATCAATGGAGTTTAAATCTTACCTTTACAGGAATCCCTTAATTCTTCATTGCTTTGTCTTGGTATCAAAACCATAAAAAAAACTCACAACTAGTAACGAAACGAGTAACTCACAACACCAGAACTAGATAAGTGAGAACTGACAACTGAGAGTGAGGAAGTCTAAATCCAACAAAAATGGTGGTTCAGCACAAAGAAACAGGTTTTAGGAGCGTTCTGGGTAGAGGTGGAGGGAAAATTCTTTTGTCATATGACACTGCTCACTTTAGACTCACATGAACAAGCTTGTCGTGGGTCTGGTTAGGTGTTTTAAATTGTGGACTTGGCCAACCAGGTTATATATGTAAATAAAACAAGTTTAGTTTTGGCGCATTCACACAAGTTCACTTAACCAAAGCTGTTTTAAATTTGTAGTGGGTTCCAAACTCCAAGTTTGTCGTACCAATTCAGAAATATGTAAAAACCAAGTTTGGTCCAAGCTCACGTGCTGTCTGGGTCAGAATATACTTCCCAAAGCCCATCCCATGAGCTCTAAAGGCTTCGGAGTAAAATATCAAAACAGGGCTTTGTCTCCATATTTTCTTGTTATAGTAGCTATATTTTTGTGAAATAATTCTACCTAATTTGGCATATTGGTTTATATTATGCATGATGGAAAATCAGATATACATGTTTAAGTAGTAGTGGAAATAGAATACTACAACACAGGTAAATAAATAATTTGATATATTCAAATGTATTCACGTAAAAGTATAATTGAAATCAAATATTTTTGAGGAGATTGGTAACATTAAAACATACCAGAACACACATAGCAATGCATTACCCAACTCCAATGACGCAAGATAAGGTATTGTGTAGAACTTTCTCCAGTTATCCTAATGTTCATCGTGACCATTATTGTGATTTGATGCCTATTTAAATAGTTTATAGCAAGTCCAAAACCATAAAGCTGAGCATTCAACCCTGACTGAACACTTACGGATTTTGTGAGCCTCATATTGCTTTTAAACAGCATGCTCTTCAGACATAATCATAAATATTAACAGATTGAACACTAAACCAAACTATAGCATCTAATCTTCAACAGCTTTCACAGTGTTTGTAATGTAAAACCATTTATGACTTATAAAAATATTTTATATTTAGTTGTAATCTGTTTATTGCATTCCCAGGTCTAAGTACTGATTTCATATAAAGAGTTGTAATTTTAACTGTAACATTATAGACAGGTAATTATCTAAAAAAATTCAAAAATTATTTAAATTTTTATGGTTAGTTGGATCTATTTCCTACAGATAAAGAAATTTTTATTACGATTTTGAAAATAGTTTGAGTACCTATTCAAATAAGCAAACCATGACATTCAATTTTGCTTATATTCATTCTGCGTGATCTGAAAGCAATGTTGGTGATGATTGCTCTGACAACATTCTTAGATTTAATGAGTTTAATTTTACAAAACCGAGATATAGTTTTTAGTGGAGAAGATTACCTATAAAAAAAGTTCTCCTCACCTAAAAGACAGGATATAACACCCTTTTCTTAAATGTTTCCTATAAAAGGTGGTCATACGTTATCAGGCATGGGCTTCTATCCAGAAGGTCACTGTATTATCACTTAGCTAAAAGCATTGTGGGTGATTGCTGGTGGGATCCGATTCAGGACCTTCATAACATCAGAAGCCCTGTGTTCCAAACACTAGACCAGTGCTGGATTTACCACTAGGCCAACTAGGCCGTGGCCTAGAGCCCCAAGCAAAAGGGGGCCGCAATGGATTGACGATAAACTTTTTTTCAGAATTTTTTTAAAATTATCAATTTGCTGCGATTGTGGGTGACAATGATGATGTGCCGTGATATTCAAGATTTTGCCACGGTCGCGGGTGACGCTGATGATGTAGCCGTGATTGCAACACACGGGAGATATTCACGATTTTGCCTTGTTTGCGGTATCGATGATAATGTCACCCTGATTATGACCAACGGGAGATATTTACAATTTTGCCGTTGTCACGTGTGTCAATGATGATGTCCCCATGATTGGAGCCCATAGGAGATATTCTCGATTTTGCCGCAGTCGGCGTGACACTGACAATGTAGCCATGATTGCAGCACAAGGAATATATTCACGATTTTGCCGTGGTCGCAGGTGTCGCTGATGATGTAGCCATGATTGTGGCCCACGGGAGATAATCACGATTTTGCCTTGGTGGCGGGTGACGATGATGATGTCCCCATGATTGTGGCTTCCGGGAGATGTTTCCAATTTTGCCGTTGTGTTACGTGTGTCGATGATGATGTCCCCATGATTGCAGCCCACCGGAGATGTTAACGGTGACGCTGATGATATCGCCGTGATTGCGGCTCACGGGAGGTGTTCACGGTTTTGCCGCGGTCGTGGGTGTCAATGATGATGTCTCCGTGATTGCAGCCCACGGGGATGTTCACAATTTATTTTCTGCAATCGCCAGAATTTCCCCCATAGGGGTAGGGACCGCTCGAGTAATTTGGCCTAGGGCCGCAGGTACCCTAAATCCGGCACTGCACTAGACCAACCACATTCCTCAAACACATTTAAAAATAGTCAGATTATATTGTCTATCAATCTTAATAAGTTGGCTTTCGCGCTTGGTGTCATAATAGTCCATCGTGGGTCTTGGCGGCGTTATAATAGTCCATGGTGGGTCTTGGCGGCAACCGCGTCAATTGTAGTTTCTGCCAGATGTTTTGCCCTCAATGAGGATATCTTTTTAAAGTAAGGGTGCGATACCTAAAATCAACGTACATTTGACGACGCGGTCAACAACGAAAAACCACAAAGGAATCTTCTTCCTATTGATGTGATCCATTTTTAATGCAAAGTGAGAGTAAACAGCTTATATCGATTTACAATAATCCAGCTGTTTTCAATACAAACTATATAATTTAAAAACTTAAAACTTCTTAAAATTTTCCTGTAATCTACAGTTAATGTGTTTCAGAGATGAAGCAGGAGAGTGGGTCAAAGACCATTTTGAAAACTCACCAATCATGTCCAGTTATCTTGTGGCCTTCCATCTACACATCTTGGATCATAGAGACATTGCCACAGGTAGGAAACCATTCGTCACTTTCGGTGATATTACTATTTTGAATCTCAAATTTTGAGACTTCTTAACAGAGTAATTCTTATACAATCACAGGTTGATAAATATCACTTACTTTCTTTCACATTACACAATTCCTTAAAGTATAAGTATATAATTCAAGCCCTAAAAGATCACAGGACTGTCTTTAAAGTAGACACGTTCCACTTTATAAGATCCGCATTTCCTTTAACGTGCTTAATTAGTTAAAAGTTGGTAGAATGTGTTTGGTTTTTTTTTATCGAATTAAAAATTATTTTAAAAACAAATTCTGTAAAAATCTTTCATCTTTCTCTGTGTCATGGGTATCCGTTTTTAGTTTAGGGTTCAGGTTTTATTTAATATAATATATAATCATCTATATCAATTACAAATAATAAAGGATCCACTATTGATCTTGTGGCTCACCTAAACATCTGAGCTTAAAGCAACTTATCTTTAGCTTGGTTTTTCACTAGTGTAATTTCTCCTTAGCAACTTGTTCCAGCAAAAAGTTGCTGAAGACAATACAGTAGTGCTGAAAGAAGTCACAGTGTGCAATTTGAGAATCAAGCTACAATTTGTACAATTTTAAATTTCAATTAAGTATTTTTGTAAGATTTGAGAAAAACATAACGCACTATTGTGTTAGTTTGTATTTACAAATCTTGTGTTAACAAACTTTTTGATTTATATTATTTAGATGGGCGACGACTAAGTGTATGGCTCCCCGGAAGCAGTTGAGGTGGGCAAATGTCACCTTGTCCATAGCACCAAAGGCTTTGGATTTCTTCACCAATTATACAAATATCAAGGACCCGATGCCTAAGATTGATTTAGTCTCTGTGCCAAGGTTCCAGGGTGCTCTTGAAAATTGGGGAGTGACTTCATTTATGTAAGATATATATTTATCATTACAGGATAGTTATATTTATTTATGGTTATAGCTGGGTGGCTGAGTGGATATACAGTAGTGCTCGCCTGGTAATCGTATCATAACTAACACAAGAAGACTTCTCATCCCATTATAAATTCTGAAATCTTTCTTTATGTTTGGTTCATCTTGATGACGTTGAGTGATAGTGTTGACAAATGTGTTTCCTTATTTTAGGATTAATTTTTAATTTTATCATACTTTTACTAACTTACTTTTCTATGAAATGGCAACCATACAAAGTAGGTATAAAACCAAAGGAAGAGCTAGTGATTATAATTAGATTGGTTTATTTAATTAACTAATTTTGAAAGAACAAGAAACAAATTGTTAAAATACACCTCAACAAGGGATTGTCTTCAGCTCATCTATAAGAATAAAAAAAAAATAAAACAATAGGGGAGTATGTTAGGTTAAATGTTGACGGAAGGTTGCTGATATGATCGTGAGAAATGACAATGGACATGACACGCTCTAGGAACATGTATTGGTGCACCGGTGCAGATGATCCGGTGACTTACTCACTTGTACCGCCCCAGAGGAAGAGTCTTGGGATCCCAGAACAGTTAGTCACCAGTTCAGTTAACGGTGAACATCGGATTGTAGTTTACACATCAATCTAATAATCACTTTATAATGTTAAAATTTAACAAACTTCCCTCAAAGAATACATTATTGATATATTATTCACTTATTACGTAGCATAATCCATCAAACTGATAAAAAATTTATCATTTATTCAATGGACCTGCCATATTGCCATAGCTACATACTGGTGTCCAAGAAACCAACCAATCAGAAGCCGCTGGTGTATTATGCACCGTACAATTACTCTAGCTGTTGCACGAATCTTGCACAGGTGGAGGAAAACTAGGTTAACTGACCCGTCTCCCAGAACGACACATTTTCTGCACTGGTCCTGCACGGGTAATCTTAGTGTTCCCAGAAAACGCTTCAATTGCTTTTGATTGTTAAAAACTCTATCAAGTGTGTCCTTGCATTGTGCTTTTAATGATCCTGGCTAGAGAACCAGCTGATCTTAGTCAGTAAGAAAGCTGTCAAATCCTTTATTCGACACTAATTTCAGCTTTAAAATACTCATTATGGTGTGGATGCATCGTACAAATCCAATATATTATTCAATATTATGTATTTTAAATGTGCTTTAAAAACACGATCAATGATTTCAATCACCAAAGGATTCAAGTTTCGGTTAATGGAAATACCAAATTGTTGTATTGAATTAAGGTGTTCAAAGGAAGAGCAGGCTTACTATTTTACAAGACTAGCTTCCCACAGTATACAAATAGAAAGGTAGATAATGTGCACACAAATCTTTTTTTGATCTCTGATCAGTGCACTGGGGAAGAGAAGTCTCCTCTATAGTAATTAATGAAGAAACTACTATGTATAGCACCCAGTTGACTAGAATCACTAATCTTCCTCAGTGATTGATTCAGAGATAAGTATGACTATAAAATAATATTGTATTACTTTTTTACTTTCCCATTTGTGTATTATTCAAGCAAGCTCTTCTTGTTAAAAGTAAGTCTGCTTTTTCCTTTAACATTTTGATCATACATCTTGGCTCATAGACGTCCAAAGGCAAGCAGATCCACTATTCTTTTTCCAGCGGTTAGAGGAAAAGGCACTCCTTTCCAAACAGGTTCATGTAAAATGATTTAAAAAATTATTTTTAACCGTTTTAAATATGGAATAAATAATGTTATCCAGTTTCAAGAACTGTTTAATGAAGTTACCTTTTATCTTGTTGGTTGTCTTGTGTTCTTGAAGTCTAATTACTTCACTGATTCACATTTCCTTCCACATCCCTGACACAATTTGACAAACTGTTCCCGTTGTGCATTGTGATGATAGTGAACCTCCCGTGATAGAACTCTCAACCCGTGCTTGCTGCCACCGCGCCATGCGACCATGTAATATTAGTTATGTGAAAAAAAACAGTGACTCACAAAAATTTGTGAATAGTAGAATGGATTTTTATATTTTAGAGTAACTCTGAAGATGTCACTTTCTGTGGCGAAATGCACTTCAGTGTATTAATTGGACGTTTTTCTTAGTGGTGAAAAATTGCCCCCCACAGCCCCATGGGCCTCTCCCCCTTTGGGTGCCCTTGTTTAGCTTAGAGCTCTTAAAAAAAAAACCTAGACATAATTAATCATGTGATGCATTGTTGAATTTACTTTTTTTATTAAAATTATGTTTCAAAACCACTTTAAATATATTAAGCTCATATGTACAGATTCAAAATTAATGTATTTCTCATAAAGGCCGACAGCTCTGCTCTACAAACCCCACGGAGAGGGAGAACTCCGCAAGGTGCTCAATGTCAAAGTAGTGACACATGAGTTGGCTCACATCTGGTTCGGCAATCTTGTCACTCCTAGATGGTGGGATAGTCTATGGCTCAGTGAGGGCGCAGCAACTTTCTTCACGTCTCTGGCTATGGACCAGGTAGTTATATCACAAGATTACAGTGATAAGAGACCATTTCTTCAGGCTAGGCTTAGAGGGTCGGGGTATTATCACACAACCAAGCCTACTAATTTCCGAGACTCGAACCTGGAAATTTGGGACTGAATCCCCACACTCTAAAATTAGACTAGCTAGCTCCCCTTTCACCACTACATAAAAACTCCCTTATTTATCATAAATCAGGCATCACTATTTCAAAAGCTCACTTTTTAAGATTCCATGACTTAGGAATCTCATATTTAATTCCACAATATAAAAACACCCTCCTGTTTTGTCTGGTTTTACCCCTCTCTTTTCTCTGAGGTGGGTAGAAGTAGTGACTGAACGTTTAAAATAGGGAATGGCAGGTGATCTGCCATGTATATGTGGTAGGGAGTCTTTGACTATGAACTACTTATGACCGCTCTCTGATGGTTATTGCTGGTGAATTGGCCAGACTAGCTCAAGCAAAGATGGAATTCATGGCTCAGTGTTTGGATTGAGCTTTGTGAAGAGGAGTTACTTTTTAATGATTTTACTAGAAGATAAATTAGCGAAATCAGTGGAGGGGTTTTTACAACTTGAATTATCATTTATCATTGGAGGCTGACTGAAAAAGCTATAGTAGCTATTTGTGTATTAGGGGCGCAAAATATGTCATTGCTTAGCTGAGTGTGGCCATAGATTTGAGAGCCGCAATGACTGTTCTCGTGATACACACATGATTTTTCCCACCACCATAACTTTATCATAACTTGCAGATAAACTTTTTAGTTGTATATAAAATGTCATCTAGTATAATTGCCTTTTTAGGTTTTGTTATTCGCTTACCAAATGATAGTGTTTTATAGAAACACCAACAGTTAAATCAGCCCCGCTAACGAGTGTGGGAATGAATAAAGTAGAAATTACCGATTTTGCGGCGTGGCGATGTGATCATTATGTAGAGGTAGGAAAAATATATCTTCCTTATGTGCTTGTTTGAACAGATAGAGCCAGAATGGGACCAGATGACAGAAGACACCCAAGACTATTTGACCACAACCTTCTACTCGAATGCTGCCGGAACTGGGCGTCCTTTGGCACACCCTGTAGAGATGGTCAGTGATTTACGTTCGGTCAGCTACGCTCCATACTACAAAGGTAAAACTTGCATAAACTGGTAAGTGAATAGTATAGATTGCAACAATTAGTGTGGTGGATGGGATGTCTGAGTACAAGAACCCTTCCCATACCATCGTCGCTTTCCTTATTTTGTAGGGTAATTTCAACAATGTTTTCTGTTTGATTAATTTACTATCACTAGTGTTTAGTGTTTTGACTCCCATTGTTATGTTGCTTTCCGTCATCCCTAGCTCCCACTCGGCATCTTTTTTGACACTATCCATACCAAATTAACAATTATTCCACTACCTATTAGTTGATTTTAAAAGAAGAGTACTACAGGACCAATATTAATAAGTGTCAATAATCAGAATTTGTATTTATTTATGAAAGGGTCAAGTTTTATTTATCTGAAAGCCAATCTTTCAAATAACAACAATCTAGGCCAGTTTGGTTTTACAAAGTATTAACATTCATCATAGTAGCCCAAGAACTGCAAAACTGACTAATTGGCTTGACATTAACTGTCATCAGTTCCAAATTTTAGCATTTACGTGCTACATGTTTCACAGTTCTTTATAACAGGCATTTAAAACATTTATAGTAAAAACTCACTAACTCGACACGTGGTAGCTTAACAGTCTACACCTGATAAGGCGCACGCACAAAATGGATTTTTTCAGAACATTTAGTTTTAATTGTTAAACATTCAACATTTTTTTAATGTTGTTTACGCAATATGATAAAATGATGCTCATGTAAGTAAAAAAATGTACTGTATATGTAAAATTTAGTTTGTTAAATCTTCATTTATTAAAACCAATTAAAAACTAAAGTGTTCTGGATTACTCGACAACCCCCAAACTCGACAAGCTCTGGATAAACAAATTGTTGAGTTAGTGAGGTTTTATTGTATCAGGAACACCGCACAGATCCAAGAACAGACACACAGAAGTAATGGTAAAACAGTACACGTATACTGTGCTTATTGGTGCTTATGGTATTTTATTTATGTGGTTTATCGTAAATTATTTTTGTAAGTAACATATTTTACGCCAAACTTCTGAGATTAAAAAATATTCCATAAAAAATTACAAAAATTCCAATCTTTGCTCCTTTTTCCAAACTTGGCATTAAAATGGTGTAACTGTTTACCAAACAATTGAACAGTAAGGAGTGTGAGGGAAGTTTTCACTTTTGATGTTGATGTTCAGGTCTAAATGAACTTCACTATTTACCGTGTTTATGACACCTCCCATCTTTTTCAATGTCTAAAGGGAAAGGGAAAATAAGGTAAAAATTTATAGTTTTACTAACTTATCTTGCTACTAGCATCTGCGTATGTAACTGGCTGTAAATGAGAACGCTCAGTTGCATTCAGCCACTTTTCCCTCAAGTGAATTGAATCTGAAGACCTAACTTTGCTGAGCCTCCCCAATCCCTGACCTATGAAAATTCTCAAGTATTAGAACTGCTTAAGAAATATACGTTTTAACATTTTCATTTCCATAAACTCATTTTCTCAGGGTTCTCATTGTTCCGCATGCTCTACTACTCGCTGGGTTCAAGACATTTTAAAGAGGGAATTCAACATTACCTCTCCGAGCTGAAGTACAAGACATCGACTCCTCAACAGCTGTTTGATGCAATGAACTACAGCTACCAAGACATGGACTTGGCTAGTCTCATGGACAGTTGGACCTATAGGGACGGACTTCAGTGGTCTTCGTGAATAGGAGTGAAGGCCAGTTGATGCTAAGTCAGGTAAATAATAAAATTCTTCGTAGTCTTTGAACAGGTGGTAACTAATTCCAGGTATATACATTATTTGAGGAGTCAGTTTCAGGAACAATATTATTAATGGTCTTGATTGAAGTAGGAAATTTATACATATTTTGCCTTGTGGTGGGCATCCTCAGGGTCTTCTGACACTAAATCTTGTCACTAAACTGAACAATTCATATAGAGTATGTACTATGCACAATGCAATCACATGCTCTTATCGATGATGAATAACTGTCACGACAGATGATTGGTGTCAGCAAATCGCGTACCCGTTCTCTCGTATCTCAGATTCTGAGTGTGCGCTACTACAGTTGCGGGTGAGTCTTTCAGGGGTAGCTTCATTGTGTCAACTGTCATTGAGTCCAATGATACTGTTAGTGAACGATATATTCACGTGACTTGTAAATAGACCAAGCCACGTACATAATACCTATTTCTTTAGTTAGTTTAGTGTAAGAAGACCCTGATGATCTTCCACCACGAAATACCTATAAGTGTGCAACCTCAATCAAGAACACAGGTAACCTTTTAGGTGAATATTGAACAAAATCCAATAATGAGCTCTGTTACAGTTAATGCTACACACAAAAACAGTACAAAAGTTTGTTGTTGTATGTTTTGCTTAATTTTGTATAAAATGAGGTTGCTAACCTGTCGCCAATCAGTCCTATGTTGTCGTAGATGACTATAGTTATAGTTTCAGGGTTAAAACCACATTTTCAAATTTTATCTTCAGTCGTCATATGTCAAACATATTCTCTTGCACAAGCCGTCGTCAAAATTACTTCACACATGAACACATACAAAAACATTTATAATTACAAAATCATGTACATACGCGCGAGGCCGGCCAAGGACAAAACCAGACTCTATGTATAAATTAATTTTGTAATTTAAATTTGATCTACTTAAATGAACCTCAATCACATTGGCATTCAACATAACACTCAAGAAAGCCTTTGGTCATTTCCAGTTGTCTGATGCAAATATATCTAATGGGGTGAGTATGAGAGGGTTGCATTATTTCAACTTTGGTTGATCAGGCAATTTTAATGTTGAGAAATATACAACGGACCTGGAATGATTAAGAGAAATAAAACAGGAAACAGTGGAAAATGATACTGTTTTACTGTTATATGGGTGCTAACCAATAAAACAGTAAGATCCCATGTCCTTACTTAATTACTGATTAAAACCCAACAATACATCATTACAAAACACCACTGTATTGAAACCTAATGTTTTGTGCAGCAACGTTTTCCGTTATGAAGGTCGAAGTGGAAGGTGGAGAAGAAGGAAAGAACACAACTGAGGAAGAACAGAAATATGAGTGGTGGGTCCCGATCAGCTATACTTCCAGGTCAGAGAAGATGTTCGAAGATGCCCAGCCAAAACTGTGGTTCAACAAAGAGACTACAATACCAGATCCTGCTAAACCAGAAGATTGGCTTCTGATTAATCTTCAAATGGCAGGTGATTTTTTTCAGTGCCCTTCCAATCAGGACTATTTTTATGTTTTGGTTTCAAACTATAAAGGATATTGATTTAGACATGCTGTTTTGAACGTTGATTTATATATTTCACTACTTCATGATAACAAGATTTATTTTATTCATCAAAAGTATCTTTCCCAAAAATACAATTATTTCCATGTGAGGAAGACAAAAAATTTAATTCAGAAGGCTGAACAAACCTGTCAAAAAAGATGGGTGACCTCGAGAAATCGATTCTGACCCTTATGCACAAAATTCGAAGATTCTAACAACTAGAATAGGAAGTATATTTACTAATTAATTACTTTAGTAAAAAAATATACGGTAGGCCTACCTGTAAAAATGTTAAGGAAATTTTGGTTTTTGAATTTTAAAATTTGTATAACCTTAATGGAGTAGGTATATTATACCATACACAAAAATAATTAAATATAGACTGTCAGTCGTGCTGCGGTTATTATGGTTACCATAGGTTCTGGCGCATACCACTGGGAGCGCTGTGTATTTACGTAGCGTGTACGCCGTAGCTACATGGCGCTCCCAACAGTGTGCGCCAGAACCTATGGTAACCGCAACACAGCTGAAGGTATATATTTAATTCTTTTTGTTTATGATGATATGTACCTCATTGTGAAAATGCCTCAAATCCTGTCATTATATCTGTTGTTTATTTTAAGCAACGAATTATTGAATATGGACTCAGACACTACTATTTGTTACCAAAATATAGTGAAACTAAAATATAAATGTAGAAATGTACATACTCCTAGCCCTACCATACACATATGCCATTTTGTATGAGTTGATTAGGTCAGGCACCTGCTATATGTCATCATTATGGCCAGCCCAGAAGCTAATGTGAATTTTAATGTATACATTTCTAATTGTATTTCAATTTGTTGTCAGGTACTTACCACGTAAGATATGACCAAGCCAACCTCAAGTTGTTGAAGGAGGCGTTGAACTCTTCAAGGGAAGAAATACCGATACTGAACAGAATGCAATTGGTTTTAGATTATGGACTGTATGCACTCTCAGGCCTTGAGCCGGTGCCTCAGGTATTCTTTAATGTTCCATAACATTTAGGATAAAGGTGGTTTTTGTATGTAAATACTACAAACATATTTATTTCAGGAATGCTGTGAAGTAAAACAGTATACATTGTAGAGTTTCGATTATCAGCTCCTTGGTCATCAAACCTTTTATTTCATCTAACGGTTCCTTTATGCGATGGAGTATCATGAGATTGTGTTCTGTTCATGTATTCTGAGTGTTGGATCCTTTTTCAGCGGTTCATATGCTATATGGATAAATAAGCATTTGGGACCAAACAATATGAAGAACTAAATGTGGTGTATTTTCTGAATGTTACTTTTTTATGATGGATCTTAGAAGGATATATAGGTACCACCTAACACTGGAAGCTAAGAAAGAGGAGTCTAGATTGAAACAACACCAAAGAATTTGAAAATTTGTTAAGCCAATAAAACGTTCCACTTACCGTTCGTTATAATTTTGCTGTTTAGCTGTGCATTCAATTGATTAATTATTCTCGTTGAGAGACTGGGCAATACAGGTCTTATGGCAAATAGTCGTACTATCAACATTACTATTCTTTTGTGTCTTTCAATGCCAGTGTCATTTATCAACATTTACTTAAGGGAACGGTCTAAACTCTGTTCTTGCTACTATCTAACATCAAGCTGTTGCTAGAAAGCATCATTAATTTAAAGCCCAATGATAAATGGCCTCTGGGTCTGGTAGCGATCTAGCTTGGAATCGAACCAGCGACCTCAAGATTTGGAGGTGAGCACTATAACCAGTTGGCTACCCAGACAATTTTTTTCATGTGGTTTGCGTCACCTGTCCTTATAATTATTGTCAAGGTGCTATAAGTACTATTTACATATTTATGTAAATTTATTTGTTTGGTAGAATGGTATTTTGACCTTCTGATTTTAATTTAGGTATGTAGGTAGGTAGTAAAAAAGTATGGAACAAAATTAGGGAGTTATTTGTGGGCCCTATTTTTTTAGGAGGCCATAGTGACTCTGAAACTGTCATTTGAATTTAATGGCTTATGGACTCTCCGTACTGCACAGTGAAAATGGAATGGAGTATAGACGTCAAACGTCAATTAATATTTGATATGATTATCATGTGTTTCAAAGTCAAAGTCAAAGTCAAATCGTTTATTTCCAAAAGTTAAACAAAACAATAAACAGATACAAATTATAAAGAAATATATTTTTCCGCATAGGCATAAGCCCGTGTGCGGAAAAAGAGTTCTAGATCTGCTATAACAATATCGGTTACATCCTGGATATACAATAATTTTATTTGTCTAAGTAAAACATGTATTAATATACTGGGTGACTATTCCTTAAAAATAAGTAAATATTAAATAAAAACATCATTTAAAAGTTAACATGTACTAAATTGAATGAGGACAAAATAACACAATAAGTAATTTCAGAGAAGAATTTCCTAAAGTAACCAAAGATTAAAGTTAACAACAAAAAATGTATCTACAATGCCAGGGTCTCAGCAGTTTACTAACATTTCACTTTTTTTCTAATAAGCTCAATTATATGGGGATTTTATCAGCGCTTCCGTAGCCGTCCGGCCAATGCTGGCAAGCCATGTACTCACCTTTCTTTTGTACACCGGGACACTGCTCTCCTCATACTGCAGGATTTGTGCCGGAAGATTGCGATATAAGATATAGGCGATAAAATATGGGTTACTTTTTAGGGAGGTTATATTTAATCTAGGGAATTGGTACCGGTAACCAAAGTTGATTCTATGTCTTGTGGGATAGTTATGCTGCAAATTGGTAAAAATGTTGTTTTTGTTTGACCTAATAAAGACTAAAAGAGTTTTAACAAATAACTGTCGTATATCATGAACACGAAAATCTGAGTACAGATCCTCTGTTGGATATCTCGATGGTTTGCTTGGGACTGTTTTGATTAATGACCTCTGCGCAACAGCCAGAGGCTCAAGCATAGAGGCCGAGACACCGCCCCACGCCAATATACCAAATTGAAGCAAAGACTGCACGTAAGCATAATAAACTGTCCTACAGTAATCCGTGGTCAGAACACCAGCAAGTTGAGAAAATGCATATATATGAGCTTTCTAAGTCGTCGGTATGAAGAAATAGTTGCCTAGGGCTAGGGTCACTTTCACTCTTAAAAAATATTGGTAAACTTTTTGTTTTATATATGTTAAGGGTTAACGTGTTTTGGTCTAACCAGCGTTTGATTTTATAAATGTCTGTAGATGCGTGTTCATATGCCTCATCCCACGTGCGTCCATACGATACCATGGCCGTGTCGTCAGCAAACAAAAAAACATTCCCTTTAGTTCTGACTTTTGAAAGGTTGTTGTTATTTTGTTAAAGGTTCTGGAGTTGATGGATTTCTTAGCAGATGAGAAACACTTTGCTCCTTGGGCAGCTGGGCTGAGAAGTCTGTGGAGAATGGACCAAAGACTAAGAGGAACTCAGACTGGAGACAAACTAAAAGTAAGATAATAGCAGAAACCATCAATCTAAGAGTAATATAAGATCTAAATAAGTTAAGGTGGTTTTATACACAGCAAGAATACTTACAATCATAGGCTGTAAAGGGGGACCAAAATTTGATTTGCCTCCAAAAGGTCTTGTACATGATTAATTACGATAGCTAATTTTGATTGATCATAAAATTCTTTCATAGACTTAGAAGTAAGTAACAGAGGAAAGATACAATGGTACACTACAGTGGTGTCTAGCACTTGCCGCTGGTGTCTAGGGCAAAATCCAACACTGCTCCCTCGCCCTCATGTACAGTGGAGGAAGACCCTGTGAACTGTGCGATATGTTTCTGCACAGTGCCGTTGTGGTCTTTCTTGTTCGTCACAAGTATATTTTCGGCACAACATACTCCATACTACATCTGAAGTGCATATGTTTGGTAAAAAGATAAAAACAGAAGAAAAACAATTTGTATTTTTATTATAAGTGCATCTCTATAGTAAAAATAACTTGTAAATTTAGAAATTGCAATAGTTTTTTTTCATATTGTCACTAAATAAATTTCCCTTAACTCATTTATAGATCTAATACTTGAAACTTGTTTCCCTACATAGATTTTGCATTTGAATGCTTTTATATGGACCCTGTGAGAGTAAAATAAAGTACAGTATCATTACCATCTTATGTTTGAGCTTGGTACGTGAACTCAATTTTAATTAATTTACAATGAAAAACTGTTTTTAAATTGTAAAATTTATAGTGTTAATAATTAGTTTTTCTTATTTAGTGAAATCCTAATTTTTTTCTTAATTTTGTTCTTACTGGTTACTTCTTAAATTATAGATTGACTTGTTTTTTGTAAGGATAGTGGATATAAATTACAATATATTGGAGTTAATGAAAGGTTGAATCATAGGGATTTTTTTATTTGTTGAAAGCATAGACATAGTCAAAATGTAAATTTAACATAAGTTCAGGTTAACCACCTAAACATTCAGTTATTTATCATAGATAATGCATTTTAAATAGACTAATCTACAGGGTGTTGAAAATGTCTGGAACCAACATTATATCTGGTGAGTGGTTAAAGAAAAACAACTGATATTTTGTGTATGGATATACTATGGTTTTACCTATCTTTTGGTGCCTTATGAAATTGTTTACCACTTATAGGGAACGTCCTGGGGAGGATGCAGTAAAAAGTTTTAATGGAAGCCTATGGTAAATGATACATCATTTTAAAGGCAATTTTTTTCTGAGTAAGGAGCCGCAAGTCTCATCTCAATAGGACCACCCTAGCAAAAATGGCGACTGTTTGAAATTTAAAAACCCACTTATAGGGAACGTCCTGTGGAGGATGCAGTAAAAAGTTTTAATGGAAGCCTATGGTAAATGATACATCATTTTAAAGGCCATTTTTTCTGAGTAAGGAGCCACAAGTTTCATCTCAAAAGGACCACCCTAGCAAAAATGGCGACTGTTTGAAGTTTTTGAAAATAATTGAAAGCTTAATTGGCATTTCTGTTAAAAATAAGTTTAGTAAACAACACAAACAATTTAGTTAAATGTTTTTTTTCAGTCATTTTTCAGTTCACCACGTGATAAACTACTGTACTTCGTAACTGGCTTGTAATAGCATTTAAAGGAAACAAATACGGACCATTTAAATAGCAATGTTTTTTAATTTCAAACAATCGCCATTTTTGCTAGGGTGGTCCTTTTGAGATGAAACTTGTGACTCCTTACTCAGAAGAAAATGGCCTTTAAAATGATGTATCATTTACCATAGGCTTCCATTAAAACCTTTTACTGCATCCTCCACAGGACGTTCCCTATAAGTGGTAAAAAATGTCATAAGGCACCAAAAGATAGGTAAAACCATAGTATATCCGTACACAAAATATCAGTTGTTTTTCTTTAACCACTCACCAGATATAATGTTGGTTCCAGACATTTTCAACTCCCTGTATATCCTTCACTATCCCCAATACTAGTATTGGAATTCAAACAAACATTTACACATGAGTAGTAAATAACAAAAATTATTGCTTTTTTAAGGAATTTTCACACTGGCGTTGGCAGACATTTTACCAACCCTTTGGAAGACGTCACTGAAGTAGCTATTAATGTTATTGAAATGAGCATGCTCACACTGCTGTACAGGGTCGCTTTTATAAATGGGCCCCGGTGGGCCCGGGACCAGGGGCGCAAGATGTTTTAAGTTTGTTTGGGGCGCAAGGAAGAAAAACTTACCCTCAAGGTAGGTGGATAGAGGTGAAATCATCTCTCGGGCCCATAGCGCATCACATGCAAACCCCGGACTTGCTGCTGTATTAATACGTGAGCGATGGGAGCGACGACGCTCACGCTACATTGGTTATCTACTAGGTGTCGCTCGTGTCATCGTGCTAGCAATCTAAGCTGTCACCGTCAGCCTTCAGGCTGTAAACTTATTTAGTCATCATTCATTAGGTCATCCATTAGATGGTGGAATTTGCCAAAGTGGTTTCTTCTTTTATGTATCCCATTTAGATCTTGAACATGCTGAATATAACAGCAATGGTTTGTCTTCCCTATCACTGCTATCACTCCATCTATGGCTTAGTAAATGCAGGATCACACTATGGTATTAAAATGGGACACGGTTCCAGGATCTACTATGAACGTGAGGTATCACCTTGAGCTGTGAGCAGTTGGAGTGTGGTGCTGGTCGGTGGAATAGGGGTGTGAATTACAGTGTGTGGGCGACATATTTATACTGTACTGTACACCAAAGACGTAAAAGACGTCTAGCAACATTGGTGTGAACAGACATTACATAAGTGTTTTATGTTTAAATACAAGAATATACTATACTTTCCAACCTTACAGGATGCTTTGTAAATGTTTGCTCTGTTCAGGACAGAATACGCAGACTATTGTCACCGCAACTTTCCAGTCTGGGTCTGCGTACACGGAAGGGTGACACAGTGCCTGTTATACGCCATCGCAGACAGGTGGTGCGCCATGCGTGTCTCTACAAGCTAGCAGACTGTGTTCGCAGGGCTCAACGTCTCTTCACCAAGTGGACTGACCAGACTGATCCAGACAAGGTTAATCCGTACGTATCCAATGAATAGAAGAATATTGTCAACAACAAGATGTTGTGGGGTTTAAAACATATGTCTTCATCATCAGGATAGCTACGCCAGTACCAAGGCTACCTGCAAGGATTAGGTAGCATATCAAACGAATGGAACAACACTTTAGAACATATTTTAGGGCTTTATGAAGATTTGGAACTCTGCAAAACAACGATCAAAACTGAAACTTGTGTAAAATGAAAAGTATATTTTAATAATAAATGAGGGTGTAGAAAAATATTTTTTTTGCAAAAGAATCAGTTGATAAAATTTGCTAAGGTGCTTCTCTTGATCAGTGTTTCCCAACCTGTGGTGGTACGTGGTGAAGTTTTAAGATAAAATACCCCCACTGCAGCAGACCTGCAGACTAAGTGAATTTCCATTTACCTGGCTGGAATTCCACCAAATTATTCCCTCAAAACTGTCAGATTTATTTCTTATTTAAATACCATTAGTTTTAATGAGTACTATTGTATCATGCTGGTTATCAGGTTTGCTGCTACAGGAAAGAACATAGTAATTTTAAATCTAAACTTTTTTGAATTTTTTTTCGGTAACTGTTAGGCATAAAACAACGCTTCAATATACTACATTATTTGTTTTTTGAGCTCTACAAAATGGGTTTAAAAGAAAGAGAAAATACAATGTTTTAGAAAAAGGTGCATACTTATGGTTGGAAATTAAGTTTTAGTTAGGTTTGCAAAATATAAGTAATACAAAAACACATATTAAATCACATCACCGTGACCAAGTAGTCTTTTTTTAGAAAGAAAATTTCTATAGCTGTTCCATCATAATAAAATGTGGGGAATCCCTGCTCTAGATAAACAAACTTCAACATTAAAAACACAATATTTAACCAATAAAGAAGCTATAATAAAAGTTGTGTGTTATATACCTGCTGAGGTGATGTGCATGCACCATAGAATACCATTGACATAGTAATTCATCAACTTGTTGCCATTGGTGTTACACAGCTTGGTGCATGGAAAAATGAGCATTTGCAATACTTTTTCTGCACCTTTTGGGTGCAAGTTGAAATTGAATCTCTTGGTTAGATAATAAGTATGATTAAAAATGTTCTATGTGTTTGTGAATGTAGCCTAATATATTAAAATCATGACTCAAGACTGCATCATGCTGCTTCATGACTACAGGTTGTGTGTTCTAAATTTAGATCTTAATCAACTCCAATGGTTTTCAGTAAAATTATAAATTATCTGCTTGGCCAGTTTCTGCTACGTCTAAACTGTGTAAGGATTTCAACTGTACAGTTAATATTTTCCTAGACTAGCTCTTTCACCACATTTCCTTCTTAAGTACCAACTGAGTTGTACTTTTTTCAGCATCCCCCCAGACTTAAGGTTCACAGTTTACTGCACGGCTCTGCGCACAGGGAAGGAAGATCACCTTACATTCCTGCAGCAGAGAGCGCTACAGTCCAAGGAGCCTCTTCACCGAGACACCATGTTTACTGCTCTTGGCTGCTTCGAAAACTATGAAGTGCTCTACAGGTATCTTTTTATGTCCCACCTTTACAATAGTGGATGTAAACTCTAGCCTAGAACCGTTTTACACATTACTTCAGGGCAAGCCTAGGGTTGCGGCATTATCACTTAGATAAAACCTATTGGTAATTGTTGGGATTTGAACATGGGAAAGTGGGGAATGAAGTCCATTGCTCTACCACTAGACCAGCTTGCTCCTCTCTTTTTGACAGAGTTAATATTAAAGTCCCAGAAAACTTCATAATGTTGATCAGTAGATCTTTGACAGTGTTGAGATTTTACAGCTATGTTTTTACGTGGAATATTCTAGTACCTGGTGGAGGGCTTTAGAGGGAATAACAGCACTGTCACGATATGTAACAACATTAATGGGATAGATAATTGAAATTAATTTAGTAATATTAATTTATTTAGTGCTTAGTTCAGTCCTCTAAACTAAATTTTACTTTGTAGCTTGCACTATGATACAACACATAAAATAATGTACAGGCTCTGTCATTTTGATGACCAGCCCCTTATTAGGTAGGAATATTAGGATTTTACATTTTTTTTTTTACAAAACTGAATTACTTTGTACCCAGTAATATTCAAGGGCATCAAATACAAATTTAAATTATTGACAAATGTCACTCAATTAAAATTTACAACTTAATATTTTACAAGAATAGGAGGTTTAATATTTCATCTTTAGTGTATACCTACCTACTAATAAGCATTTTTGGCTCAACTACATAACAAACTCTTGTTGCAGTTTTATGGAATCGAAACTGGAAAACTCGACAGTAACAAGGCATGATTTCACAAAACTGATGCAAGGTTTGGTCCAATACAATGAAAATATTGGGCCTGTACTTCAGTTTATGGAGCGATCAATGGTGAAAATGAAGTCTTCGTAAGTATCGGCAAAGGTTTTTACTTTTTACCATACATATTTCCATTAAAAAAATTCTAAATTAAGAAAAAATATTCTGTAAAAAGGGCCATTTTTGTTTGGAGGGAGGATAGGGCAGATTTCTGAGGGTTTTATGGCATCCAACACAGAATAAAGGAGTGCACATTCAAAGCTATTTATACATTTTATGGCGTTGGAAGTTATATTTTATTTGTTGTTTTTTAACTTTTAGTATATTTCATCAACTTAGGACTAACTCTAAGTATAATGGATTTTAAAAATTTCAAACGGATTAATAATTTTAAAGGAAAGCCAAATGGATGATTAGGATTTTTTGAAAAGTAGTAGAGTTTAGCTAGCTTACCTAAGTAAATTAGAGTCCAGGGCTAATAGTTACACGATAATAAGTCACAAAAAATAAAACTTATATATATTGTCCTAATAAAAGACTTCTTCAGGAAGTAGAATGAAGAGAAGCAAACTCCCTTCAACCCTCAGCCAAAAGAGATTTATCATCAATCTAATCTCTGAAGTAGACCTATATTTGGACGAAATGGCATTGTTAAGTTTTTTAGCTGTGTATCTATTAGCCCCTGGACTCTAAAATTCCCAAGTAAGCTTGGTAGATGACCTCTATTAATTCACAAAAAATACAAAAAAATAATTAGAAAGCTTCAATTTGAATCTAGACCTGTCATGTCATTTTACAGATCTTAATCCTTTGGGAATCAAACTATGTCCATTTGTCCAACTGCCCATTGCTTCTGATTACAAGTCTCAACATAATGCATTTTTAGTTTCAAATTAAATACCATTCATGCCCTGAAGCCAGGAGCACAAAATTTAGGACAACAAATTTGTTGTATATTTCTGTATTCTTTGCCAGGAGATAGCCCTGTGGGTGGATTATTAAAATGGCAATGCTCAGTTTTTGTGTGTGCAACTCATCTGCAGATAAAGTGGTTGGAGTGACCCTATTAAAATAAAAACAGCTTGAACAAATATAGACAGCTTAAATGCTTGATGATGAGAGTGAATTCTATGTGACTTGCATCCCTGCCATTTTACCAATTATTACACTGGACCCAGACTTTGACCTATGGGTGTGTTTACAACTAAAGTGTTTTTCTTTAACATTAAGGGATTCATGTTCTTACAGCAAGTAAACAGATTATACAACAATATGCTAATGTTAAACTTATATTAAAGGCTACGGGTAAATCCACCAGACCATAATTTGTTTAGAGTCTATAACCCAATCAGTTAATAATTATACTTTTTATACTTCTTTTTACATAATGTTGCATGTTAATTAATGTCTGACTTGTTTAACAAAAATTTCAGGACAAACAAAAAACTACGATGGAATCAAACAATGTTAAGAGATCTGTCACAGCAAATTTACGATGTAGAACAACTTGGGCAAGTAAGTAATGTAAAGTGAAACTTTGAAATTAATTTTCTGTTATTCATAAACAAATTATTAGCTATGGACTATGCAGTCTTCTTCAATTAAATATCTAACATATGAGTGCTTTGTTATTTGAAATCTTTAGGTTATATGCTAATAGTTGTAGTTAAAAAAATATTTCCTCTTTGGACAAATATGTTATTAAAACTTTTTATCTAAAGTTCTACATGTCATTATGCCTACTCCACTATTAATAAATGTTTAACTTAATTTTGATATAAATCTGACCAATAACCATAGCCAATAGATAAGCTGTAAACAATATTAACTGATGTGCTAAAGGTTCCAGTACTTTCAATATTTTAACAAAATATTAAATCTCAAAGTTACAACAAGTACATAAACAAATGGTGTTTTTTTTTCAGTTTAAGAGCTTAATTGGTGCAAGCAAACCTTGGTCAAAATCAGAGATTGCGGAACTCCAGCGAATGGTTGAACATAATGCAAGCTGGAGGGAGAAGAATAAGAACATTCTTTAACCAAATTTCTTCTTAAGAAACAATCCCAATGAAAGAGAAGCTCCATGTGTCTATTTGTTATTTATTTATTGTTATAATAAAACTATTTCTTTTAGTACATATTATTATTCTATTCAAGTATAAATCTAATCCTCACACAAGTTCACAGTAAAAGTAAATTCATATTTTAGTACCTACATCATTATAATTGTATATTAGTGAGTCGGTGGCTCAGTCGGTAGTGTTGCGGACTTCGGGCCCAAGGCAGCGATGTCGTGGGTTCGGATCCTAGTCACTGCCACTAAAATTTATCAGTACATACACTACACGCACGGGGGGTTAGTCTAAGTGGACGGGCAAATGCAAGGTTAAAAGAGGCCGCCAATCTAAAAAAAAAAATATATATATTCTATAACTGTACAATTCTGTTAAGCAGTTTTGTTGGCTGATTTGCTCATACCATACCTCTAAATATAAATGGTACTTGTGAGCAAATAGTGCATTTCAATCATACTAAATTCCAAGGTAAAAATTGATGCAATACCTTTTACTTTTCAAAGATCTAGATCTGCACCACAAAGACTGAAGAGTGATTTACCTTATCTACCTTAATCAGGTTGCAATAGTTATAAAAAAGTAGCTTATTTAAAATACATTTTTATAAACTGCTGTCTGTATCTTGTTTACAATCTGACTGTGGTTAAACATTCAACTGAATGATGAACTGTTAAAATTCATATTCAAACCGTTACAAAAAAATTGCTCAGCAACACTGGATCTTTGAAAGTAAACTCTAAGAAAACCTTTATTGTATTAAGTATTAAGACAAAGGTATTTTCTATTGATGGCTTATATGCAACACTGAAAATGGAAAAGAACCATTATTTATGATGCATATTTTTTACTAGGAATATATCAGCTTTTGTTTTCAAATTAATTAAGTTTGAAACATTTTAAGCATTTTTCTTGTGTTATTTTAACTATTCGTGGATTTCAAAGAAACCACCAACAAGCCAAGCCTGATGTACACTCTCCAACCTGTGTTCAATTACAAAAATATATTGAATTCATTCAAAAATAGCACATGGAAACCAGTTATAAAGGAATCCAAATATGGCTGGTGCAAGTTATTTGATCTTGTCTACAATACAAGAGATAGAGATCATCCTTTTATTTAAAATGTATAAAATCATAATAAAATGCAAGCAATCACATGAACAACAATAATTCATTGAAATCGTTTGAAATAAATACTAGCAACAGAGCCCATTGTAGTTAAATACGTCTCTAGGAAAGTAACAGCTATGAAATCCATGCACATCTTTACTCACTAATATTAATGGTACAGATTAAACACATAACTTTTTCCTACAGTTGCCTAACAATGTACATGTTCTCTCACTGATTTGAGAAAGCAAAGTGGCCAATTCGCTCATCAGTGAGACAATGTTAACATTGTTAACATTGACAATGTTAACATTGTCTCACTCTAATTACTTTGTCTCACTCCAGATTTGCAACGTTAAAGCACGAAATAGTGAGCGCATAACATGCAGACAAGGTTGTATGCGGGCAAAATACGTTGGCAGCACTGGCTGTAAATCAGCTGGTCAGCTGTTGTACTGTTGTATTTGTCACAGCATTAAATGTCATGAGTCAAGTTCACTTCTGTGTTAAAATATGTTACTTTCTTTACCAATTTATTTGTTTTATGGTAACTGTAGGAAAAATATAATGTGCAACTCGAGTGCAAAGTGCAATTGCCTCACTCGAGAGAAATCCTTACTCACGAGCCGTAGGCGAGTGAGGAATGGGTTCTCGAGTGAGGCAATTGCTCACTTTGCTCACTAGTTGCACAAATAACTATAGAAACACACACATAACATAAGGAACACACTTGAACACAAATTAAAATTGTGAACAACAACATGCAAAAAGAAAAATAATGAAATAACAATACAACAATCAGCTGTTAAATTATCAACACATGTTTTATATGATTAGATGATGCCTACCGGTAAACCCATTACTGCCATAAATAAAAATACCCCCTCCGCAGCAAACCTGCCGACTAAGCGAATTTCCATTTGTCTGAATTGAATTTCAATTAAATCTATTTAAATAACATTAGGTTTAATGAGTACCTAGGTTTTCTGCTACAAAAAAACTAAAAATTGTATTTTTTCGTAACAATATTAATAGCTTAGTATAAAATAAATACATTTGCCAAGTTTGATCAAAATATATCCATAAACAAGCAAATTACAATTTACAATATTCTCCATAAAAATAACATGGGAATTTTAAATTTACATTTTTTTTAATTTTCTCCGTTACCAATAACCGTACAAAAACACTTTGATATACTAAATTATTTGTTTTTTAAGCTCTTTAAAAAGGTCTATAGAGAAAGTGCGAAATTTTGTGTTTTGAGGGTCAAAAATGAGAAAATCCATTTTTACCCCATAAAACCCCCCATAAAACCCCGTTCTCATGGTCCGATCATGCTGACAGTGGTGGACTGGTCAGTGGACACAATCAACACTCCTTTAAAATGTCGGGGTTTTCAAAAGGCTTTATGCATGAACGGCCTAGTTTTGCCATTAAATATGTTTTCGTTTACTTATATTTTTCCACACTACACTTCAATCCAAATAAATACTTAACCTCGTAACCTCATAAGGACAGTAGGAATAGGCACTTTAACATTGAGGAAATCTTTTTACATAGGCCTATAATATGTATTTGTTATTGTTTAGTATTATGAATGTAATACGGGAAACATTTGTATTTGTTATTAAATCAAAACAACAAAACAACATAACATAACATCTTAAAATGGAGAGATTGTTTTACAAAATTAATTAGTTTAAACCGCGTGGACCCCTGAATTTTATTGTCCCCTTCTGAGCAGTTTAGGGAAGAAATTTAAGATCCATGAAAAAGATAACTTATGGGAAATACCAGCTATAATGTCATCACTCATCAATTCGAACGAAGTATCTGGAAAAAGTAATGAACAATCGGATACAGGGGATTTAAGTGGGCCAACTGAAGCTCTTCACAATCATCGCTTGGCAATAAAATTCTCCGGTTTGAAAGTACGGTATATAGTGCAGTGCAGTGCAGTAGCCTAAGCCTATATAAGTACAAAGATTCAGCTGACAGCAGTCACAGAGCAATCCCAGGAAACCAAGGGTGGATCCACGTAAACTCAAAACTTCATACAAATTAACCCATCGAAAAGAAAAGAGTTAAAAGGGAATCGCGTTCAGTAGTGGAGACCTCTGGTCGTGAATCTTGTGGTGAAAATTTAGTTTACAAAGAACACAACTTCTTTGCCAGCAAGTATATACATTTTATGGATTAAAATTAAACTGACATCTTGCAAAATTGTACAAAAAGTGGACCACGATACTCATGATAAATCATGAATAATATCTAGAATTCAATTTCAGGAACTTCGAGAAAAGTGGCGCGCCACAGTCATTCAAACTTGGACTTGGACCCAGAAGAAGAAGAAGGTTCGACGCTCAATGCGAGGGGAGGGACACAAGTATCGGATCCACCCATTCAACCAATGGCTCTCCGTTGTATATATGCTTACAACAGAAACACTCTTCCCTGCGAGAACCAACACTTTGATCATCGTTTTTCTCGTCAACCACCTAAAGAAGACCATTCAAAGTATGATTCTTTTGACATTTACACTTTTCTACACGACTTGGTGATATTATTTTCCTTATATATGCCCAAATAATCTGGGTTCATTTGTATATGATCTGCATTACCGACACAATCTTTGTTACCTTATTCACCGATAGAGTTCGGGACCTGCACTTCCACAACATAGAGAACATTGTATCACAACACCCACTACAGTACGCTGTGGACCGAGCTCACCATTGTCAGCAAATCATAATCATTTAAATTTCATTCATTTTCATAAATAATAATTTGAATTAAGCTTTCCAACGACCTAATAAAATCGGCCCAGTAGAACTATAGATTTAGTTGTACAAAGGTTTTTACTACTGAATTCTTATACAAAATAAAACATATGTAGACATTTCATATGATTAGACAATTCATGCTGGCAAACCAAATTACGGTACTGTCATAAATATAAAAAAAAAACTTCCATGATTATTTACAAATCTACATGATGAAGATTTCCATTGACCTAATAACTGTAGATTTATTTGTACAAAGTTTAACAACAATTACTCTAATTCAGTATTTTCTCACCACTGTAAACTTGGAGGTTGTTTAGCTTGTTTGCAAATAACTTTTTCATGGTGAGGAAATCGACCAAAGTGGAAGTGATATTCTGAAAGAGAATACAATTTCTCACAAATTGATTCCCTACATTTCTTAAAAGTGTTTAATAAGGCAGCAAAAAGTTGCATCCAAATAAAAAGTTTGAAACCCCAATTTCAATGTATTTCAATTTCAATGAATTTCAATGTATTTCTTGCCCATTTGTGTTTTTTTTTATTTTTACCATAAATCGTAACAAAAACAAACTTTCATAATTATTTGAAAATGTACAAGAGTTTAGCTTTACATTAGTTAATAACATCGATCCAGTAGAACTCCTAGACTTAGTTAAAAAAAGATTTTTTAAACTGAATTATATACAAGTAGACAAGTAGATATTACATCAAATATGTGAACACTACCAGAAACATCAGAATAGTTAGTCTAAATCACTTGTAAAAAAATCTGTATTTAAAAGAGGTTTCATTCCTAACAGAAGGCCTGTATAACTTATACTGTACTTTGACTATGGATAAACTCATAGTCAGTTTTGTATATGAAAATGAATATACAAAGATTAAGTGAGGTTGACGGTTAAAATGTAGGTGAAATTACAGTTACGATATGTAGTCACTGTATTTATGTACTATTTCACTGAAATAATATGCATAGCTTTTTAAACTTTTATCCCAGTAAATTAGTTTCTTGTTAAATACAGACAGTGTTATTTAGACTATTTCGGGATGATTCTGTGTTTCAAGAGTAGACGTTTTATGTGTTCCAATAAAAAGATTATATGAAGAAATGATGTTATCTGGATATTATCATAGCCCTTATGATGAGCTTACGCAAGAAAGC